TAGGAAGGGCGACCATTACTCACCCATGAGCTGCAAGGGTTAGCGTTAGCCTAAACTTTGTTCGTTATCAACTTATTTTTTTTATTGTTTCTGTTCATTTCTAAGTTTATTTAGACCTTGTCATTTTGAAAATTTCCGTAAATGATTAAAAAGAAGAGCAACAGAACAAAATAAAATTTCAAACTTAGCCCACTGGTGGGTTGTTCTTTATTTAGAAGACTCTGAGGGCCCCCCATGTGGTCCTTGAGGGCACCTTGGTGCCCACGGGCACCGCATTGGTGACCCCTGGGTTAGAGTGTCAACTTAAGATTTCAACTCAAGTAAAAGTGTAAAATTAGCATTTTTAAAACTAATTAAAGTATGAAAGAAGTATGTGGGACAAAATGTTAAAGACAGAAGCTTTACTGCACTACCCTATTAAAAGTAACAGCAATTCTTTTCCGAACTGATTCTATGGGAGCAGACACATTAAATAAACCTGGGTGGTAAAAAGGATCAATGTGGCTTGCCAAAGAACAGGATTTGTAAAAGTAAATTTTAAAAACAATGCAAATCTGAAATAAAAATAAAAAAAAAAGAATAACCTTTGTCTTTTTTCTCCATTTTTCCCATTTTTGTTTGTTCATTCTATTTCTTCAAATGTCTGTTTTTCGGATGGATTTTTATGAATTGCATTCAGTTCAATTTCCTTTGTGCAGATCAGATTCTCTTTAAGTAAAAAAAAACCCTCACTCTTGATCAATAGAGATTTGCTAACATTCATGCAGGGTAAAGCCCGCCCCAAAAGTACCAGTACCACAGAATGTGATCTGTAAAACGCAATTTGAAAAGAATGCAATTTGTCAAATCTGAAAAAGAGAAAAAAAAATTTTTTTTTTTAATTTAATGTGAAAAAATATATAATTTAACTCCAAAATTTTTCAGTGTTGACGCCAAAGTCTCCAACAACACCAAAAAGTCACTTGATTTTTCCCTAGTCACGTAATTGAACAAAAATTGCTAGAAGTGTCAAGAACCGAGGACAGATGGACCCAGTATTCAAGGAGAGACAGTCAGTAGGAAAGTTCAAAATGTTTATTAAATAAAACAAAACTAAAGTGGAGCTGTGGCATGCGGACACTGCAGGATGGGGAACGGGGCACCGCCCAATCACAGACACTCTGCAGGAGAAACACTGGTAAGTGACCACGATCATCTGATAAAGGATGATTATCTGAGTTGGCCACTTACCTGGTTTCACAGGCCAGTCCTAGAATGTCCCCAAGTGCTGCAGTTCTAGAGGACATGCTGGAAGCTGATCCTGGTCAGGGATCCAGAACAGACAGGAAAAGAAACAGGTGGCAGGATCCAGACTTCCAGGCATCCACAGGCTCCCAGGAGGGTTCAGAGTCTGACAGGGTCTGAAAGGAGCAGACAGGATCAGGTGCAGACAGGCAGGCTCAGTGAAAGAGGGTTTCCAAGACAGGATGTAGAACCGGAACTTGATGCAGGACTTTAAACTGGTCTCCTCCCTGAAGCCAGGCTTACTGGATAAAAACTGAACCTCCCCACATATAGAGCCGAAAACCCAGAGGACTCCGCGGGGGAGGAACAGTGGACGATCAGGAGACGAGACAAATACTAAAACCCTCTTTCCACTGGCTGCTAGGATCCAGGACACGAACTAAGGAACAAAACTAACAGACAGGCTAACAGAAAGACAAGTAATGATCTGGTCCTGAATGCTCAGGCTGAACTGAATATCAACCAGAGGAAACAGGTGAGAGGAATAAATTATAATTGATTCAGGGAGGGAAAACGACAGGTGAAAGGAATGACTAATTAAGGGAGAGCAAACAGGCCAGATCATGACAAGAAGGCTCTTAACAGTGGATAAATTTAGCAAAAAATTCAGCAAATTAACAAAAGCATGTGGACAATGATTGTTGGTTGGAAAATTGGGTCATTTATTTCTACAAAAAGAAATTCGTTAAAGGTATAAAAAGTCCCTTTTTATACCATCTTATATAATTTATCATAAGAAACTGATGTTTGGATTCTCATCTGTAAGAAACTGAAGTATTTTTCCCCAGTCACTGTCTAATGTGAGTGATGGAAAATATGAAATTTTTTCACAATAATTAGAATTTTTTTTTTCTTAGCTTTACCCATTGTCTGGTCCTGAAAAAAAATTATCTGGGATTAAAAGGCCTCGGCAGATGGCCGCTCACACTGAGCCTGGTTCTGCTGGAGGTTTCTTCCTGTTAGAAGGGAGTTTTTCCTCTCCACTGTCGCTATAAGCATGCTAGGTGTGAGGGATTGCTGAAGAGTCACTCAGTCAATACAGTCAACTGGTTTTCCTTAGATAGAAAACTTTGAATCAATCTGACTGGATGATCTGGTTGAATTGTTTCTATAAAATGCCATGAGATGATGTGTGTTGTGAATTGGTGCTGTATAAATAAACTGAATTGAAAAGTAAAGTTGATTTTTTTTTTTTCTGATGTCCAGTTCTCACCGAACATGGGAGGAGCTCAATGAGCAAGTTCGAAGTCTTCTATCAACACCAAAAGCTGTACGTCGACTTGTCTTTGTAAGTAATGAGGTGTGATGTCACACAGGGTGCTAAAATATTAACTCTAGAAACAGTCTTCTTTTGCATTCTTTATAAAGTTAGCTTGTTAGAATAAATAAGGAAACCTGCTTTGCATCACAGAGTAATTATATCTATTAAATTGCTTCCTGTTTTAGGGGGCCACAGGGGCTGAGATAGATGAAGTTTTAGCAAGGAGGTCAATTTCTCCAGGTCCACCCTGATACCTGGTCAGTCCGGAGAGGTTGGATGGTGCCGCTTTGTCGCTGTAAGTTTTACCATCTAAAGTTTAAGGGGAATAGTTTGATGGTGTGGTTTGGGTAAGGGAGTTTTATTTTCCTTGCAAGCTTTGGTTTGGGCTACTTTCTCATAACATTGTGCTTATATAATTCAAAGGTAGGGATGTTCCAATCTTTTGGAACATCCCTACCAAACTTTTCTTTAGCTATTTAGCTTTAGCTATTTAGTATTAAATACAAATAGGAGGATTAATAGTCAGGCCATTGTCCAAAACTTAATAAAAGTCATAAAAGTTGTTAATATAATTTCATTTATTGCGATAAAAACTCTGCTGGTTTCAAGTGCAGCAAAATAACCCATTAGATTTGATCAGTGATAAATTTGTCATGTCTTTTAGATTAGGGAAAAAACAGAACTTGGTTGTGTGGCAGAATTAGGGTCAGAGGTGCCATCGAACTTCTGGCCAGAGGTTAGAATCAGGTGGAGGTATCCGAGGACGGTGCAAAGATCTGCAGTCAAAGGTAAAATACTAAGTCAGTGTCCAAAAATATCAGCGTACACAGGCGAGAGCAAACTGGTGTTGAAACCGTGAGGCAAAAACAAGGTCGGGTTTAGCCAATCTGGAAAGGAAGAAATGCTAGACCTAAGCTGGCTGTGAGGCTTTCAATAATCTGGCAATAATGACTGCTCACAGACTGGTTATATGGGGAGGAGTGCAGGTGGATTGAATAGGTAGTCAGGAAGACATGTAAACAAGCCAGGATTAGTACTCGAAACATAATACCTTTATCATTAACCTACCCTAAACGCAGTCTATGAAATGCAAAAGATTGGAGCTGAGGCCCGTTTCACAATGCAGGTTTAACTCCCTTTTTGAAACAGAAAACTCAGAGTTAAAGGAATAGTACACCCATAACATGATTAGCCTTCATTTTCTACTCACCCCCATGCTGAACAACACTCTGGAGTACTTTTTTGATATCTCAAATGCATCTGGAGATCTGGGAGGCTTCTTGCTGTCTGCTGACAATGTTTTTAGAGCATAAACAGTAGTGTATAGGACTTCCTCAAAACGCGCGCATGCGAGTTCACGAGTCTACAGAAACCGCGGCAGACCAAACCAGACGAAAGTGCGCATTCAGCTCGGCAAAGAAC